TGTCTATTTTCTCTAAACTAAAACCAAAACGAAAATCACCACCTTAATTCAATTTAACCGGAAACAAAAAATGACATTGAAAACGGATTTTTATCCAGAATCGGTACTTTAATTTATACAAAATATAGTCATAGGCATATCCCTGAACCATGCACCTAATCTCATTCATGACAAAAGTCGCATTTAGAGTTTCTTTCATGCAACTCTACTTGGGAGGAGGGGGATCCGCCCCCCCCCCCCCCAAACACACACCCCAAAACATGTCTACCGTCCCATTCAACGAAATATAATAATATACTTTTTTCCAGTGTCCGCCCCCACCCAGAAAATTCTACCCCCCCCCCCCCCCCAAAAAAAAATAATTCAAGTACCCCCACCCCTCACGGGGCAGGAAAAAGTCTGAAAGAAACACTGGTCGCATTTGTAGATCATACAAACTCAAGGAAGAACCTGGGCGGGGAAGAAAAAAATAACTGTGCGCACTAAACTTTTTAGATTAGAAAAAGTTTCCCCCTCCGGGGAGAAAAAGTCTGAAAGAAACACTGGTGTCGCGCTTAGCAACTACCCGAAGAATTGCACGAAAGAAACTGCAAGCAAACCACTTTATAGATTAGACACATTAATTAGGCGGTAATTGTTATTATAGAGTATCGATGAAGAAATTTCTTTTGAGTTGGGGTGGGGGGGGGGGCGGCTTAGACGTTCTTTCTGGAGGGTGGGGCTTCGCCCCTACCCGAAGAATTGTATGAATGAAACTCTTCACGCAAACCACTTTTAAGATTAGACAAAATTGCCTTTATATTCAATGTTTACTCGAGAATCAATGACGTCATATTACTGTGTGCACTCTCCGGCTTGATATTATTTTCTACTCTATGCTCAATACGACGTCATATTTCGTTTTCGTTTCACTGTGAAAGTTTTTAAAATGCTCGTGTTTTCTCTAGAGCGTTCTTGTCAGATAGATAGATACACAGATAGATAGATAGATACACAGACAGCGAAACTATTATTAGGAACGAGAATAATGGCCCGTTGAGGAAGGTTACAACAGGCGCTAGGTTGATAGTGCTGTCTATTTTCTCGGTACTTTAATTCATACACACTCCAAAACATGTCTACCGTCTCATTCAACGAAATATAATTATATACTTTTTCCAGTGTCCGCCCCCTCCCAGAAAATACTACCGCCGCCCCCGAAAATTTCAAATACCTCCACCCCTCTCCGGGGAGGAAAAAGTCTGAAAGAAACACTGGTTGCATTTGTAGATCATACAAACTAAAGGAAGAATCTGGGCGGGGCTTCGCCCCTACCGGAAGAGAGGAAAAAGTCTGAAAGAAACACTGGTGTCGCGCTTAGCCACTACGCAAAGAATTGCATTAAAGGAATTGCAAGAAAACCACTTTTTAGATTAGACACATTAATTATGCGGTAATTGTTATTATAGAGTATCGATGAGGAAATTTCTTTTGAGTTGGGGAGGGGGGGGGGGGCTTAGACGTTCTTACGCGGGGGTGGGGCTTCGTCCCTACCCGAAGAATTGTATGAAAGAAACTCTTCACGCAAACCACTTAGATTAGACAACATTGCCTTTTTATTCAATGTTTACTCGAGAATCAATGACGTTATATTACTGTGTGCACTCTCCGGCTTGATATTATTTTCTACTATATGACGTCATACTTCGTTTTCGTTTAACTATGCATGTTTTTAATTTGCTTATGTTTTCTCTAGAGCGTTCTTGTCAGACAGATAGATAGATAGATAGATACACAGACAGCGAAACTATTATTATAGATAGAGAGAGCGCGACAACTAAATACCCCCTACACGTCCGCAAATTTTTTTAAATCTCGTTAATAAATATTTTTTCTATTTTGTTTAGAATTATTAAAACTACTCGTGTTGCATTATTTATTTGCTGAATATATGATTTATCTCGATTTAAAATTGTTATGGATAACATAAGGAAATTGCGCTTAAATTGTCACTAGACTTTTTATTAACTTGTTTTTTTTGCCACGTCATGCTTCTCCCATAGGAGAGGGTATATCGTAATATCGTAATTTTCTGACGATTGTGAGAAAGGGGGGGGGGGGAAAGGGGTGGTCAGATAGTGTGACGTCACACTTTCGTATTTAAAAATAAGTACTAATGTTAGAAACTGAAGTTTAGGCGTTAATAACATTTCTGTATTTATTGCAAACGCAATACATTTTTAGACAACTCTGTTTCGACTCGTAGGTTGATATATATATATATATATATATATATATATATATATATATATATGCCAATCAATGATGTATATTTTAATTTCATATTTGAAACATCTAAATGATTAAAACATGTGCGAAATCAGGTGAGGTTAAATTATCGCCCCGTAAGAACTCAAGATATTACTCATTTACTGTGCCTCTTTTGAAAGACCCCCAACAGTATTTCAGCTAATTACACTGGTAATGGTGATTGGGGGGAAGAAAGGTTAAAAGAAGAATCAATTTGAATACAATAGTTAACGTTTCTTACCTGTGTAGCGTCACTAGGCCCCGTGTCACCTATCTTACTTCATTCAAATATATGAACAACCTATCTCTCTTCCTACCATATCATCTGATACACATTCACCTGTATAACTTGCATCATTTCAGTCGGACTAGTAAACAACAAAGTCCAAATTAGCAATTTAATTCAGTACACTTATGCTAGAACATAATAAACCACCTGTCACGAGATCGTATCAATCATACCCGAGCTCTTTGTTCTATTGTTCAACTGTCAGTAACTACTGTATAAATTACAAAATATAAAGTGTTCACCTGAAAATTCTACTTAGCCTAGCACTTTTGTGACGAGTCCTCGCTTGATACTGTCTAAATTAATTTTAAGAGATTACAACAGTAGCGTAGCGAGGGGGGCGGGGGGGCGGGGGAGGGGGACATATGTCCCCGGGTGCCGACCATAGGGCGCCAAAATGGGTTGGAAAAATAAATTGAAAGGTTGAGGGGGGTGAAAATCGAAAGTTTGAGGGGGGGGGGGTGCAAATCGAAAAGTTTGTCCCCGGGCGCCGGGAAGGGTCGCTACGCCTCTGGATTACAATCTTACCAGTTATAATTACTTCCTATTTAAGCTATACGGTAATGAAAAGGAGGCTTAGTTACTTCTCGACCCTGGGTTCACTGTATATAATTGGGTTTAAATAAAAACAATTATTTGTTATAGTTTGGGGGCCCTAGGTTGCTGCCTAGACAACCTTCTTCTTAATCCACCACTGGCACCAGTAGACTGCCCGACATTCAGTGTTTCATATCCAGGCAGCCATTGGATGTGTGTGTGTGGGGGGGGGGGGGGAGGGCGAAGAACGTCTACCGAACTCCCCCCCCCCCCCCCGAATGAAACAGAAAATACATACTATTACCAGTGTCGTCCATCCCCAGATAATTTAGTCCACCCCCTCCCCCCTCTCCGGAGAGCAACTGGTCCGAGTATTACCGAAGTGGGAGAAAGGGCATGAGCTTTAACTATGATGTAATGATCCGTGTTTTAGAGTGTTTCATTTGCATTCAAGTCCACCTGGTTCTCTAATGTAACTAACTAGCACATTCACCTCACAGGAGCTGTTTTTTTTTATACTTTTATAATGTTGTGAAATATTTCCTAGTAATACTAAGCCGGATCTTCGGTAAACTAACTCAGTAGCTTCACAAGGCGGGGCGTGGGTGCGGTCCGCAACGGGTGACATCATTTAGGGGGTGACACCAAAAAGGAAAAAAACCACCTAAAATAAGGGGTCGTCCATAAATGACTTCACACTTGTAAGGGGGGGGGGGGTCCGTATTTTGTGACGATGTGTGATGAGGGGGGTGTTCAGATGGTGTGACGTCACACTTTTGCATTATAAAAAAAAGCAATGTTAGAAAACGAATTTTTGCCGTAATTTCGCGTTTTAGTTTTAGACAACTGTTTTAATAAATGGTAATGGTAATTAAACAAAATACTCTATGCTGATAGCGTTCAGACAATATTTTGGAAAAATATCGATTTTTAAGAAAAATTTAACAGCAATTTTGAGGGAGGGTTGTAGGCTGAGCCTGACGGGGGTGGGGGGGGGGGTGAGGAGGGGTCTGGCTTTTTGTGAAGATGTGTGACCGAGGGGAGGGGGGGGGGTAAAAAATCGTCAAAAAAGTGTGACGTCATTTATGGATGACCCCTATGCAGTCAACACAGTGTGTTGTGTGGTTACATGTATGAATCAGTAAGGGGAGGTAGTCGATAAGAAACCGGAATTGTGCAATAATTGTTCAAGGGGGTGGTGACACCCTCATTCACCGGATGATACCCCACCTAGTGACGCCGCAGAACAAACAAAAACACGTTTGCCAATCCCACACCACTCCCTGGTCACACATAGCCCTATATAAGTGAATCCCCCCCCCCCATCCACTCCAAAAAATATACGTTGCACATCAGCCCACTATCTCCTCCCAAATTACACTTACAGTTTTTAAATCAGCGTATACCTCATAAACTGGCAGTTTAGTATAGAGTATAGAGTCCTAAAACAAGAGAGCGCCTTTATTGCTGACAACAACTTAACAAGATTCATTGTCTTTTCTCGTTCGTTCTCACATGAAATAGGGTTCATCTGTTTCAATGACCTCGGCAAATATGAGTATACTGTGGTCAGCATTACGCCCAGCGGTCTTTGTTTTCATATCAGAGTGAAGTGAACTCAAAGACGTCATACAGACTCGAGCGCGGGATCCGAACTCGAGACTTTCGGGTTAGTTGTCGTAAGCATCCATTGCTTACGTTAAATTCTTTGGTTTCAGAAAAAGGAGTCACTGTCTTAAGAATACTCATATAGGGAGCGCCCCATCCCTCATTGGATACGCCTATGCACTCTACCACCTTCCACCTTAAATCCAGACAGTAAAAACATACATCACCAGTTTGTTAAATAATACATTTAATAATTATAATGTAAAAAGCGACGTACCTTCAGAATTGTCTTTACTCCACAATTATTCTGATAAGGCTAGTCCAGAACAGTGATACTCTCGTAAGTACACCTATAATCCACTACTTGTTCTATTAAAATACTTTAGATCTTACTGCAGAGGAAGGCCTACAGCTCTGCAACTAAGAGCCGTGTTTCACGTCTCTGTTCTTATCACACGCGGTGATATTGGTAATCGCTGCAATAATGTAGGCCTTACGCGATTGGCTCGAGTGGGTAGGTGTGTGCGTTCGGCCATCCAATCAAACGCGAGTAAAAGTCGCACACCTCCAGACGTAAACAAACTATTTTTATAGAACGAACACGATCGAGGTCAGGTTATCTGTAGACCAGCGAGGAAAAAAAAACGCTCAAGGAGAGCACTGTAACAGATACAGATTAGATGGATGTGCTAGGGCGACTAATCTATACTAAGATGCAGTACATTTGAAGTAGTGGGGAGCAGTGTTTCTTCGAGACTTTTTTTCTCCGGGGGGGGGGGGGGGGGGGGGGCGGGGGCACTTGAAATTTTCAAAGAGATGCCTGGAAGAAACTCTAGTGGGGAGTAGGGGGGGGGGAGTGATGGTCCTATATGAGAGGTAGGAGCAGTGTTTTTTTTAGAAATTTTTCTCCGAGGAGAACAAGTATCTTAAAAGAAGTAGTCCATATCTAGGTTACGCAACATCACTCATGTAGGCTTATAATTGACCTTCACGGATATGTGCATAATGACCATGAAAGTGACTTAAGGCAGAGAGTCACCAACAAAGCATTCATTTAAACTTTAGTGTACTATGACTAACTTGAGGGAAAGTATTGGCGGCTAGGGGTAGTGCTGATCACATTATCCCTTCAGATGCCGAGGTCACTAAAATAGGTGTACTCTACTTCAACTTGCAACATGGGTTGTCAAGTTCAACAGGAAACGTTGCTATGACTAGTAGATGATGTTATGTAAAACAAAATTCTACTACTTACTGACTAGACAGTTCCCTACCACCATTTAGATGAAGCCAGAAAATGACAAACTACATATTATACTTCTGAGGGTGACAAACTTGAATGGTTCAGTAATTTGTGACTTCCAGTGTTTCTTCCAGACTTTTTTCTCCGGGGGGGGGGGGGGCACTTAAAATTTTCGGGGGGGGGGGGGGGCGGTAGACTTTCTTCGGGGGGGGGGGGGGGGCGGACACTGTTAAAAGTATATATTTTCTATATAAATTATATAAATTTCATTTCGTTCGGGGGGGGGGGGGGGTGGTAGAATTTTTTCGGGGGGCCAAGCCCCCCCCCCCCCCCCCCCCCCCGAAGAGATGCCTGGAAGAAACTCTGGTGACTTCACTTCTTCAAGAAAACATCTACTCTGTGCTAACTTGTAGCTTCTTTAATGCTGTTGTGGTGAAAATGATGGAATGATTAACTTGAAAGGTTGAAACAACTGAGTTTCCCTAAGGCCATTTAGATGAATTAACAAATTACCCAGCACACTTATAATACCACAGTGGCACAGAATTGTTTGAACCACCCCATCCCTAAATGACAGATATTTCACATTAAAGTACAGCTTTTCATACAAATGTGTTTTCAGTTTCAAATTTTTGTATGCCATATGAGCGTAATTTTATGTTATTGAACATAAATCATCTGACATGACTCTTTCACTCTCTCTCTCTCTAACACACACACATATATATACATACATTTTTTAGAAGACAAACCCCACCCCCCAATTGGTATTTTAACACTCACTTGTCCAAATAACAAGAACATTTTATTAGTGTTCAACAAATACAATATTGTATGTAATTTGTTGTGGTGAAACATATCTACAATAGTTACAACATATACAAAACAGTATTTTTACAACTGTATGGAGCAACAGATTAATTTAAAGCATGAAACTATTAAAAGTATAAACTTATTTAAGTGGCTAGTTTAAAGAATGTTACATCTTATTACCATTATTTACAACGTAAGCAATTTAAAAAATAATAGGCATTTAATACATTATTCTCGCCATAATTATAATTACCATTGAAAGAAAAATAACAACTGTAACAAGTTTTATTGAACAATCATAGCACCCACCCATCTCATCTCAGTCAGTCTCATCAACCATCAAAGAAAAATAATTGGACTGTTGTGGGTTGTCTCCCTTGGACAAGTACACTTTAAAAAATATTTACAAACATTTTTGAAAAAAAAATATGCTGGTCTTGTTTACAATTCAGTTCCACAAACTGGTCCAAAATATGATTCATATAAGAGTATGTTACTGTTCTGTTAGCTAACCTGTCTTTAGAGTTTTCAAATGTATGAACTATAGACACATTCATTGTTAAGTAATGACTAAAACTTAAAAGTTCTTTCTATCACAACCACATTGTAGCCCAAACAAAACAGTGTACTTGTATCTCTGACAAAACTCACTGAGATCTGACCATCTGTTACATGGAACATAATTAACTTTTTTGTATGCTAATTAAGTTTTAGCCATAATACCATGAGAGCAGAATTTCAGGGTCTGACAGTAAAGACAAGCTGATACAGAAAGATTTGAGAAGATGAGCAAGAAATTGCTGTATGAAAAAAAAGCCTCCTTTGTCTTTAGTTGTATCACAAAAAGTAGTTTCTTTGGTAATTTGATGTTTTTAGACTGTCAATCTAAGACTTTGATTTTTTCCTCTTCAACATGTCACCAACATCCACAGATTGCAGACCTACTAACCCACTTTTCTGTTAGATAAAACAAAATTCTTATTACAAAATTTTTCAAAAAATAAAGTAATTAAAACAACTTTAACTATATTTTTTTTTAAAAAGATAAAAAACTCAATTTGAATAATTACACTACATATCTAAGTATGTTAAAGAAACAAAATAATATAATGGATATGGGTCAAAGTTGGGAGTGTTCAGCAAATTATATGAAAGTTACATTTTTAGGTAAGGATAAGCATTCAGTTAACTAATAGCATCAGTATTATACACAGAAAGTTTGTTTATAATAACAGGGGATGGCGTGATCCAGTAGCACAATGCGTGCCTGCTAACCCAAAGATCTTGATTATTGGAACCCCCACAGACCCCTCATATCAAACCAGGTAGTGTAATTCAATGATAGAGGAAGCCTAACTCTAATTAGTAACATGGGTGTGGGATTTCTAAAATTATTAGCCCTGTTCCAATCTGCTTAACTAATGAGGAACAGCTTGAGCTAGTACTGACCGTAAGAGAGAGCTTATAGTTAGAATACATTAGGAGTGAGGACAGAATATTTACTTTTTCTTGGCCTTGCTGGGGGTGGGCACAGATGGAGAGAAGATATCCATGCTGGATATTGATCCGGGATCCTGGATGGTGGCATCATCCTGGCTGGAGTAGCTCCTGAGGATGGGCACCACCAGCTCCTGTGGGGTCTGGGGCACGTTGGACTGTGGTGTTATGGGGATGTTTGATGGAGGGTTAGGTAGCACCTCCGCAGCACTTCCTGGGTTTTCCAAGCCCTCTTCTGTAGAGCCAGCTTGTTTAGATCTGTAAGGTATCATTTTAAAAATTCATGTCACTGATGTTTCACTTAACAGAACAAATGTTAGTGAAGCAAAAGCAGCTGGAATGTCATGGGCACAACTTGAAAGAATTGCCTAAAATCTAATACAATAGAGAGGTGTGGTTACGTCCCTATGCTATGCAAGGGGTCCACGAGAATAAATAATAACGATGATGTTTGAATTGCATTTATAAGCAAAAGATTTTGGAGAATAAAATTAAAACTGAAATTCAATGTTTTTTTTTAATTGATTATTAATAATTAATTAAAATAAAAATTGAAATAATTAGAGTATAGCTGCAGCAATTACCTGGCATCTGCAGCATTACCCTTGGCTGTGTGCGACCATTTTGTGTCCACTTCTGTGGTCAGGCCAGTTGTTGTCTCATGCTCAACTGTTATCTCAAACTGGCCCAGGGCTGGGAAATAATGTATTCTAGTTTTAAAACAGTGTTAAGGATGGCTGAGTAAATAATATAATCAAGATAGGTTACACATGAGTAGTAGAGAGAGACATAATCAAGATGGGTTACACATAAAGTCAGCAAGGAAAAAATGGCTCAAGACAGTGAGCTATGGCAGCCAGTGAGCCCATATTCCAGCAAGATTGTGACCAGAGATGATTGTTGTGATGTGAGGACAGGGTCGACAATGAACCAACACGAAGTCCCTGTATAATTTACTTCTTTATTACTTGAAAGTACATACAAGACCTATGCTGCCTATTAGAGAATGGATCCCCAAACTTTCCTAACGCCCACCTTTTATACCCTACCTAACCTCTAAGTTTCCTGTGCTATATATCACTTCCCCCCAATAGTTTCTATGCTACAGAATTGTGTATATTATTTATTTACATTCTTTAATCTAAATATAACTACAATAGACTATAGTTTGAAGGGTACTGAAAACATATAAACAAAAGGGTCGCTACTCTAAATCTACCCTAATACTTATATGTAACAATCCTAACAATGATGATGGTCATCTTCCTGAATACCAGTAGGCCTTCTTCACCAACTTGGTGATACAAAATTGCCACAGTACATATTGTTAAAAAAAAATTGAAGATAATTAATACTTGGTTAATTAAATTAATTATATTGCAACAGCAGGTGGCAAGCCTTACAAGGATTTATGTAAATAAGGGACTTAAATGACACAAAATATAATTAAATGCAGTTCTTAGGCGGGGTTACATTTAATTAAATGACAATGAAATCCGAGGGTATGGAGTGTGTATAATCCTACAGTAATAAAACAAAGTGAATGCCTACATATGACAAATGTGAGAACTAACACCCCCAACAGGTGGTGAGATAAGTATGATCAGATAAGCAAATAGAGTCACAAGTGTTAGTTCCCTTTTGTGACTTAATTGGAAATGTGTAGGACAAAATATTTAATATGGTGCATGTTTTTTTAAAAGTTTCCATGACAACTAAAATAATTTTCAAATTATTTTTGCCTGTTTAAAGTACTTAATTTGAAACCCCAAAAAAGCCATTAAATTTTATATTATATATGAGGAAAAATGTACACTTTCCATCATAAAGGTATGTAACTAGACAGATTTTAAAAAGATTATTATCAGCTGGACCTACTTTCTATGTTTAGGAGTTGTTCTGCCTCATTGACTTCATCATTTTCATCAAGAAGTGGGAACTGAATTTCTGAGTTATATTCATCTTTGATGCTAGAGTGAGAAGAAAAGAAGATCAGTTAAATAATTAAACAAACTGACCATTGCACAATGTATCTAACAAACTGATCATTTCACAATGGATCAAACAAATTGATAGTATAACATACAACTTATAAAATAAACTGACCATGTGACATACAACTTATCAATCTGCCCACATCACAAACTGATAGTATCATATAAAAAGTATCAAGCAAATAGAACCTTTCACAAAGTACAAAACCACCTGACCATATAACAAGCTATGTCACCAATAAACTGACCGCATATAGTACACCTAATAAAAAAATGACTATATCACAACACATCAAACATATAATATCAAATACAACATCAAACACCAATTAACCGTATCACAATGAACAAAACAAACTGACCAAATCACATCAAACTTATCAAACAGACGGACCAAATCACATCCAACTTATCCAACAGATGGACCAAATCACATACAACTTATCCAACAGATGGACAAAATCACATCCAACTTATCCAACAGACAAACCAAATCACATACAACTTATCCAACAGACGAACCAAATCACATCCAACTTATCCAACAGACGAACCAAATCACATCCAACTTATCCAACAGACGAGCCAAATCACATCCAACTCATCCAACAAACTTACCGTATAACATGCAGCGTATCAGAACTGTTGGGCGACTGAGAACTCTGTTTGACTGGCTGCCGGCTCAGCTTGTTGTACTCTGCCATCAACAGCCGGCATTGTTCCTCCATCCTGTCCCTGTAGTTGATGACTCTCTGCTGGTAGAACTCATGGACACTCTGGACACTGCCAACACCCATCTCATGGAAAACTCTCTCCACTATGTCCTATACAAAGTACAATAAATGGAATTAAGGGAACATTCCTAACAATGCTCATCTCATGACTAATTCACTCCACTATGTCCAATAAAAAGTACAACCAATGGAATTAAAGTGCAAATTTCTATAAAAGTACAACAAATGGAATTAAAGGGCACATTCCTAACACTGCTAATCTCATGACTAATTCACTCCACTATGTCCTATACAAAGTACAACAAACCAATGGAATTAATGTGCAAATTTCTATAAAAGTACAACAAATGGAATTAAAGGGCACATTCCTAACACTGCTAATCTCATGACTAATTCACTCCACTATGTCCTATACAAAGTACAACAAACCAATGGAATTAATGTGCAAATTTCTATAAAAGTACAACAAATGGAATTAAAGGGCACATTCCTAACACTGCTAATCTCATGACTAATTCACTCCACTATGTCCTATACAAAGTACAACAAACCAATGGAATTAATGTGCAAATTTCTATAAAAGTACAACAAATGGAATTAAAGGGCACATTCCTAACACTGCTAATCTCATGACTAATTCACTCCACTATGTCCTATACAAAGTACAACAAACCAATGGAATTAATGTGCACATTTCTATAAAAGTACAACAAATGGAATTAAAGGGCACATTCCTAACACTGCCCATCTGACAGAAAAATCTCTTCTCCATGTCTGATACAATATACAAGAAAATAAATGGAATTAACTGGCACATTTATAAAAGTAAAAAAAAACACAACAGATAAAATTAAATCGTATGTTCCGAACACTGCCTATCGCATTGTAAACTCTCTACATTACATCTTATAACAAACTAGCCCTTGGTACCCGTTACATGTGAATTATAGGTAGATGTATTTAAATGTTATACAATTTTTAGAAGAATATTTTGTAGAATAGTTATTGGTCAAAACGCAATGTGCTTTACTACAGGTTTAACGATATTAGTGACAAAGCAAAGAAATAACTAAATAGCTTAAAGTTGGACACATTTAAAATAACATAGGCTACTAATGCCTATTTGAAAAAATAAAACCAAATTATATACAGTATTAGTCAACACAACATCATATTGAATGCACATATAGATTAAAAGACTTAAATGATTCCATTCGAAAACCGGCTTATCAATGGTATTTATGTTTTTTTTAAAAGTAATTTGTATTAGTTTTGGCAGAGGAAATTGTATAAATTTCATAAATTACGTCTTGATAAGTAAATCTATAGTTCTATATCAAATTTTAATACATTGTTCATTTCTTTGTATTCTAAAATTGGAAGATGCTACTGGTTTTGTGTACTTTCCGTAGTTCAAACATATGACATGTGATGTCATCGATTTTGGCGTTCTTGTCACAACTATAAACACTTCTACGGTTGCATAATTAAAATTGTTTTTCTACATTAGAATATGCCTTTATTTATTTTTTTTTTCTTTAAATAAAATTTTGTTTAAACATTTAAAACATCTACCATATTATTTTCAACAAAAGAATGTATCAAGTTCTCCATATATCGCTGAAGATTCTGATGTGATATCCTGCGAAAATATTTTGCGGACAGAGAGAGAGAGAAGTGCGCACATGGGCTTTTTATATATTAAGATGTTACAAACATAAATAAACAACACAGCAACTGTTAAGAAATTCAAAGCAAAAACTAAGTACAATATTTTGCCATAACTTTGCGTTTTCTTTCCCTATCTGACTGAAACAAATCGATAATGATTAACAGTGAAGGCACTAGCAAGGATACTATGATGAGAGGTGAACCATACAAGCCTCATATGATTGGAAAACCAACATTGCTCATAATGTTATTTTAAATTCCCAAATACTATCACAAAATTATTACCAGGATTCAACAGCCAGTACAACATCTTTGGTCTAGTGATCTCCCTTTTCCCATACATTTCTACATCTTTGGTCTAGTGATCTCCCTTTTCCCATACATTTCTACATCTTTGGTCTAGTGATCTCTCCTTTCCCATACATTTCTACTGGCATTACCTTCACACAAACAACATCACTGATATAATATGAAAACGTTTAACACTCTGCAACCAGCTGACAAATAAAATTATAAAAATTAAGAAGTAGAAAAATAACAAACACACCTATAGGATAAATCTAAACAATACCACAACTTGAGAGATGAAAATAAAACCAAACTAACAGGAAATCCACCTGATCCATACACCGCCCTCCTGTCAGCTGCCACTCCCAGGTGCTTGGTAAATTGTATGAGGAACTCTTGGCACACATCTGTCAGGGTCTCTAATACAGAGTCCGCAGTAGCTGTGGTGGGTATAAACAGGCAAGTTGTATTTATCAAAAGAAAATTGGAGGCACTGTTAGGGACATAATAGACAAGTTAGATTTAACAAATGCAGTTAAGGGGTGCTGTTAAGGAAAAAAACAGGCAAGTTGTATTTATCAAATGAAGATTCGAGGTACTGTCAGGGACATACATAGGCTTTTTGTATTTATCAACTGCAGATTGGGGGCCCTGATAGGGACTATACATAGACTTGTTGTATTTATCAAATGCAGTTTAAAGGTGCTGTTAAGGATAAAAATAGACAAGTTGTATCTATGGAATGCACAGTGAAGGCACAGTTAAAGACTAGTTGTTTTTGTAATCAAATGCACTTTGGAGATGTGTTAGGGATAAATTTAAAAAATAAGATGTAGCAATTTATGTATCACAGTCTGATATGCTGTTAAGGATATAAACAGACTGGCAACAATTATTTAACATATTCTGGAGAAAAGCCCAACTTACTGTCAAATGAGAGATGAGCACAGATTGCAGCTGTTGAGCGTCTCAGTAGCTTTCTGCATGTTATTTCATCAATAGGTGCTGGGGCTTTGCCAACACCTCTCACAAAATCACTAAAAATAGTGAAAGGTTAAACCACACTATTTTATTTGTTCAAATAATTTGTAACTTTTCTCAAAGTTTTAATACTATTGTGATTATAGATCTAAGTTACATGCATTTAAAAGTAGGTTTATTTTCTGTTTTTTAAAAAAAAGCAGACAGCAGCATATTAAAAATAGTTTTAAAAAAAAGAACTTATAATAAGAATGAACATAAAAGTTAAAATTATATTTTTGTGTCAAAATATCTATCTGCAGCAAGTAGACCTAAGTACAAAAATTGTTAGGGAGAAAGCAGCTTCATTATAAAAACAGAAAACTATGATATATTTACAAATGATAAATAAATATCATAAATGGGTGTAAATGAATAATGCCAAAATGCTGGTCCTACTTACGTTTGATACTCTTCTTCTGTAAAATACTTTTGTCTAGATCTGTCTCTTATTGGTGGACCATCATACTGAGGAACTTGACCAACTGTTGTCAACCCACTTTCTACTTCCTGTTTCTGAAATGGTAAAAATTACACATACAGCATATATATATATATATATATGCTAAAACCTGTTAATGAACTTAATGTCACTATAACTATAAAGAAGGTCACACTTACAGTATCTTGCTGCAGAGCTGAGATAGCTGCCTTCAATTTCTTGATGTGTTGGATCAAGCGTATTGTGTGAATCACCAAGGGATCCATCTGAAAGTGTTCACTAGGCAGGACTCTGGTAATTAAAATGAAATACAGGTAAAAGAAAAACTTTAATTGAAATAAGTAATTTTATCAAATGACAGTGGGGGTTATACATATGTTAATAAAATTAAAAAAATGTATATAGTGCTAAAATGAAATCTAAAACTAAGTATTTACCACCAAACAAAGATTACAAAATGTATTAACAATACTAAAGCTATTTTTTTTCCCTTTATTATAGCCATTTTAAATCGAAGTGACTACTCGGAAGAAGATTTTTCTCCCCAATGTCTCCACTTAGTCGGCAAAAGATAGCTCTACGCATGTGCAGTGACCTATGGCTAGGGTTAGGGCTAGAATGAGGGTTAGGGGTAGGATTAGGGATAGGATTAGGAGTAGGGTTAGGGATAGGATTAGGAGTAGGGTTAGGGATAGGATTAGGGTTAGGGATAGGATTAGGGTTAAAGTTCTGCATGTGTATCTTATTCCGGCTAGCATATATAAATATTTTACCATTTGTTTTAGGAACCTAAATTTAAAAAAAAAGAAAAATAAGTATGAAGAAGGTACATACTCATTTGTAGGTGGGTGGTGTCTGCTCGATGGCTGGTGTAGGAGAGGTCCCTCAATATCCAGTGGCCTGGGCTTTGTTATCTGTTCTCTCTCTAAGGCTGCAATTCCAGACTCAGTGTCTGCCACTTGAGGGATTTCTCCCCAGTAACCATTTCCATTTGCCATACTTTATCTTTGTTTATGATCCTAATTCATACTGCATAAATATATGTGTAAATCCTGTCAATTCTAAGGTACCAAATTTAAATTAGCGTTGTTATAATGTTAATAGTGAATAATTTAATATAGATCTATGTGTATACTGAATTAGTAGAATCTAAATAATTCTAATCAGATTATCAGACTAGTAAATTATCTCTAGAGTCTAGTGACGCTAGCCTATCAGTATCAGTATTGGTAATCTATCGTTTTTTAAAATCGCCTGCGGCTAGTAATGTCTGAAAAAGTTACCTCATTGTCAAGGCTTTAATAGAAGTATATTGTGATATATTTGTGTCAAATATAGATGAATAATAAACCTAAATCAAAGGCTAAATATATCAATATAGGCAAGAAATTAACTTTAAACAGCAGTGTTTGCGAGCAGGATTTGCTATATAAAAAGCGGCCATCTGTAAGTTAGAGTGGCTTCCCCTGAATCTTGCGCTATAAGTTTACAATTTAAAAAAAAACAAGATGGCTGCTATAGTAAATGAGCATGGTTGCATCTGTTGGAAACATCGCTAGTCTTCATTTATTACTGAAACTTTTTTATTCAATTATTGTTTAAAAACAGGTAGACAATACAATAACGAAGTATCTACTCGGAATAAGATTTTTCGGCAAAAGATAGTTCTGCGCATGCGCAGTGACCTATGGCTAGGGTTAGGGCTAGAATGAGGGTTAGGGGTAGGATTAGGGATAGGGTTAGGGATAGGATTAGGGCTAGGGTTAGGGATAGGATTAGGGCTAGGGTTAGGATTAGGGATAGGATTAGGGATAGGGTTAAGGATAGGATTAGGGTTGGTATTAGGGTTCTGCGGTTGTAAACACACGCATGCGCAGTACCATCGAAAACATCGCCGCTAAGGCAAGTCGTAGTTTCTCTCCATTGCGCATGCGTATCGCATGCGTATCTTATTCCGACTAGAATCGGCCATACAATAATCAATACATACAATGAAAAAAGGAAACATTTTTGTATTTTTCTAAACTCTAAACATAAATCCTCCTCAAAATGTGAAATAATTATTAAAATTTAAGGAGTCACCTGTTTTTCACATTACTAGATCTAGAACTAGATCTAGATCTAATCTAGTCGCGGGAGAATATACGTATAAAAAACGATAGATTACCTCAGTCAGTATCAGTTATAGAACTAGATCTATATAATTTATAATTTTACATCAGTAGTATTAGTATCATGATTCATTCATGATTCATTATGATAATTTAATAATTTTATCTATTGTTAATTTGATCTCATCAGTAACGGTGGGGGGGTGGGGGGAATGTCTGCAGCCCTATGCCGTGAGAGAGGAGCGTTACCTATCTATATTTTTTAGTCCATTTAGGCCTATTCTAAGAGGTACAGACGGCTAGTCTTTCAATTACTTTGGCCTAAACCAGCAAAAATAATAATGTAATAAAAATATTAAAATAGGCCTAAACCTCAAAAGTTCGAAAGCTTCCTGGGCGCTTCCATCTTTGAAACGCGTCTCGCACTGAATAATAAAGGTCTAGACAAGATTAAAAGAAATCTACAAGTCTTAGATCTAGTTATTATTATAATGAAACAGTTAAATAAATTTTAAAAAATCGTGTTTCCATCCGATTAAATAAAAATACATATATAAACGCTTTTTAAAATAAAACACTATAGAGCAATTAACCGCGACTATGCGGTGTCATGGAAACAAGATTTACTAATGGCGGCCTTTACTAAACATTTTGTTTTAATACTGAGCAAACGAGTTAAATGTTTTTGAAAAAGTCACAATATAGACATTAAAACAATAGCAGGTAACTTATAAAGTTCTCCCATGTTCGTATGAATATAGATCTATAGCTCAACATAAGTTTGTCGCATTTCAACTTTAGATTATTTAAATAATAATACTTTAAACTTTAAAATTTAAAAACTGGACGAAAGATGACAAGCTGCGAGGAAATCAAGGATCAGGAAATTTATTTGTTGTCATGTTGTTGTTTGTATTTTCCCGTTAAGCCACATAAATGACAAAGGTTATATTTAGTCTAGACCTAGATTAGTTAGTAGTGTATGATGTAGGCCTAGGCCTAATTAGTAATTAATAGTAAAATTATTGTATGTTGAACAATAAAACAAACCCAAAGCTTTCAAAGTAGATAAACTTATTTTTATTATTATTTTAAATTTTATAAAACTAAAATGGTAAAAGTAAAAACCCCTTGATCTTGTCATAACACCCTCGATCTTGTCACAAACTTAACGGATCCTTCAGCTAAAGCCTATTACAGTATCACACCAGTAACACCGAAACAGCAAATCAGTGTTTTAGAGAAGTCTACAATGATTTAATAAATTATTATAATATCATTCTTAGAGCTCAGAGTAAGACTATTTTATATCATTGATAGACTGTTTTATAGACCTTCTAAAATGTAGCCCAGTAGACCTAGCAGGCTACAGTGCTAGCAGAATATTAAAATTAATAATTTTATGTAGGCCCTGGCGAGGAATAGGCTCACAACAACAACAAAATTATGTCATAATTAGTCATTATTATGCAAGCTGAGAAAGTAGTCAACTTATTAAGCCCTAGTTAGTTATCTAGCTACAGTTAGTATTTATAATTTGCTAATAGTTGTTTCCTTGTGAGTGTTTTAAGTTGAGGATAATATTTTCCTGTTTATTTTAAGTAATCAGATTTAGTAACAATATTTCTCAATTAGAAAAATTAAAAAAAGTCCACCTTTTTAAAAATAATATATTACTACCTTCTAGGCCTATACCTATAACATTAACAATTAATTAATAATTAAAATAATTAGGCTAATAAATAGGACTAAACTTTTTTTTTCTCAATCTACACTATTCTTTAAATTTGTAATTAATATGCAAAATAATACAAATCAATACAGTATAATAATATAAGCAAATCTATTTCAAAACAGAAAATGGCAGCCATTTTACCAGCAATCAAAAGTACGACTGGTAGTTCTCCATCATATGGAAAGCCAAACCAAGGTCAAATGCCAAAGACTGGAGAACGATTAAAAAATATCCAAGGACGCAGAGATAGACAAGCTGCAGAAAAAAGTGCACAATTAAGAAGCCAGTTACCATTTCTGCGGAAACAAGACATTGCTAAGTATATATACATTTTTAAAATGAATATAATTTGAAAATGAATAGTCATACAGTAGCCGAGTCATGTAATAGTCTATGATATAAAGTAAAGTCAAAAAATTTAATGATGACTAGCTTTTCTCAGTTTCTTAAACAAAAAATTCTTAAAGTATTGCATATGTTTATTATTTATTAAAACATTTTTCATTTTAGTATGTTTAAATAAAAACATTTCTATCTCTTTGTATTATAGGTTTCGCAACTCTTACAAACACAATTTATGTCTGGATATGTTGACTGAGGGATATCATCTATCATTTTGTGAGTTAATTAATCTTATACACCAACAACATGAGCGAAGAGAGGCGGCAGGGCCAGAGTCATTTTTATGGACAAAGCCTGTGCTACCAGATCAGCCTGAAAAATTAGACATGATGAAGATGTATTTAACAAGAGCTGAAGCTGCAAGCCGACTTGGTTAGTAAAAAAGCAGTAAAAAATTGTTTATCCAAGTAGCGACCTATTTAAATTCTGTATAATTTCATAATTTCACGGTCAATGGCACACCTTATAGCTTTTTGTGACAATAATGATTTGCTGTGTTAATTCACCTATCACTAAGACTATTTGACAAAATGTGCTTGCATATGACAATGAAAAATGGCCTCTAATATCTAATTCAGTAGGTATAATTGTAATAAATTTCAAGTTAAATTAACAATTTAAAAATAACAATATGTTCCTTACTTCCACATGCAATTTGAAGATTTTGTTTTAACATGTTAATCTCATACATGAAAAATTTTATTTTTAGGTAATTTTGCTGAAGAATACCACTCACGCTACGACTTAGCTCAAGTTTTTAAAGACAATCCCGATGACCAGTGGCTAGCTGATCATGTGTTTTCAACCTGCCTTGAAGTAGCTAAAAAAGTTTCAACCGATGGAGGGAAAATGCAGTCAGAAGGGCATTGCAATGTGGGGCTGTGTTTACAGAAAAGTAGTAAGTTATAAAGGCTTTGATGTCATGATTTGCTTGCCTAGGTGGTTTAAACAAGTGGTTAAAATGGTCTAAATAAATGATCTGCTTCTGAAGAATTGGTTCCTACCAAAGAAACCTTTAAAAAATGTTAACTGAAAATTCTATTAAATTATTTTTTTTTTTCTACTTCCCTACTGTCATAAAACAAATAAAATTTCCATTGCTGTTTACATAAAAAGACAATATAAAAGACAATATATCATTAGTAAAACAGTAGATTATGGGACAGCATGGTCTAGTTGTAGAGAGCTAGACTTCTAACCCCAAAGTATTGAGCTTGAATCCTGGTCCATGTTTGAAGAATGTCCCTGAATCCATCTATCTCTGATGGGTACCTAACTCATGTTAGGCAAACAAAAATGCTGCTGGGCATAATGCTGACCACACTATCCCTTCAAATGCCGAGGTCTCTGAAACAGATGAACTACTTCATCTGCCCCATTTGTCTTGGGCACTAATGGAAGAAAGAAAGAAAAGAAAACAGTAAACAGTAGATTACAAAGCTCTGATATAATGGAAACTCAATTAAAAATAGATTTCATTATGCAGGGAACTACAGAGAAGCTGCAAAACATTTTGAAGCATACTACAAGCTAGCACAGAACCACAAGCAGGACTGGAAAATGACCAATGGGACAAGCTTTTACTCTGATGCCTGCATCAAACTTTACCACATCTACACAATCATCGGCACTGAGCTGGGACGCACTGCGGAGCAAGAAGACAAAGAGGTATCGCTTGAAACCCTCAAACAAGCTTTAGAGATGGCCAAAAATAGTAAGTCTAACTTGTTCAACTTTGTTTTAATTAATTAATTCTTTTGTTTAAATACAATTGGTCAATTAAAAGTTTACAGTTACAATAGTTAGGTTATTAAATATATTGAAAAAAAAACAGCCATACAAACACAACTGTCGTTTTACTGTTTTAGTAATGAATTAAAGACTTGGGTTGAATGTTTCTTTATTGATTGTCATGTTTTCATACTCTTTTATTTTGATGAGTTTGTGTAGGACTGATTTACTCTATCAAAAACATACACATTACTTCACAACAAAAAACATAGAAAAAATATCTGTAAACATTACAATCATATATAATGATACCACTTTCTCAACTAACCCAAACTCTATGGTGTCTTTCAGTATAGCTAACTAATAATTGCCCACCTTTAATGCTTTTATTGTTTAAATAAAACTTTACAATTAATTAAAGGCCAAGATAAGAAATTAGAAGGTGAGGCATCCTACAACTTGGGCATGGCCTATCAGAAAATAAATGAGTTGGACACAGCGCTGTCTGTAAGTATAAAACATTACATCCAAAATGTTTGTACATCTCCGATTAGACATGTACAGCAGTCAGATAATTGATTATGTGCTTGAAATATTAACAGAAATTAATATAATTTTTTTCTAAATTCCAGCATTTATTTAACTTCTACGAATCTTGTCAAGGTGATAGTAACAGTGAAGGCATTGGCAGGGCCTGTGATTCTATTGCTAAGATATACGCACGGTAAACACATAAAGAGATTTCTTAATACAATTAATGTAAAGCAATCATTTAAAACAATATTTAATCTTCTATTACCAAACTATAATTTATGGTAAACTAAAAAAGAATAATTTTTAAATTATTCATTGAAATTAAATGTGTAGAAACAATGTTAACTGTATTTTTATTATTTTTGAAAAAAATAGAAATTCTAATTTATAAGTATGGTAAACTAAAAAATTAATTTTTAAGCTTGTTTTAACAATATTTACTATAACTATAATTACTATTAATAATTATATTACTATGATATTTATGTATGGTTAAAAAAAGCTTAAAGTTTGAATAATGTCCCTTATTTAAATAAAAATAAGTTATTTAAAACTAACATTTTGTATGATTATAATTACTAAGCTTATAATATATGTAAATATGTCTAAATGGTTAGTTCTTTTTTTTCCACTGCTTGGTTTTATATAAAAAGAAATTAATATTTGTTTGTTTGACTAAACTTTTAAAATATTTTTTTCTTAGTCAAGGCAACAAAGAGAAAAGTGTTGAATTTTTAAAAAGATTTGTTGAGCTAACAGAAAAGACAGGTTTAGAGAAAGAATACTGTTTGGCATGTCACAATTTAGGAAATGTTTGTAATTCTGTGGTAAGCAGTTTATCTAGCAGTTTATTTCATTCACGATTTTTCTGTTGAAATTATCATAAATTTTAGCTGAAATTAAAAGTGAGCTGTTAAGAAATGTTTATTTTTTAATTTATTTATCATTCAAAGATTAAGAACTGTACATTTATTTCAACTCACTAGGGTAATTATGATGAAGCAACTGAATACTTCAGCAAGGCCTACAACATCTCTCGTGCACTGGCTGACCCAGAATCAACAAACGTAAACAGAGTCCAATATGGCATTGCCATGGCCCACAGGATGATGGGTAAATTTGCCAACCACATTGTTGTTGGTGACAGAACCTGCATAACCAGACTAGCTGAATGGAAGAGCGTGAGAGCCGATGAGTTTAGCAAACCAATACCTGACACAGGTCTGTTTTTGTTCTTCAATCACTTTTTAAAATTTAATAACTTATATAACTGATACAGTTACTAGCAAAAAGGAGGGTGGCATGGTCGGGTTAGTAAAGATCTGAGTTTGAACCCTGAGGAGATGAGACTTGATACCCGGGGACAGGACAGCAACTTATCTTGGGGAGAAAACTCCAAAGTAAAACAACTACCACTTTGTAGTTTGTTCTTGAATGGACCAAGGCTATGGAAGCGAATTCCAGAGAGAATCGTAGGCTGAAATTAGTGTCAAAGAGCAGATATGGCACATAACATGTTGAGATGTAATACTTAATTGCGTTGGAGGGAATCCCTTCCAACACTAGAATTAAGAAGAACCAAGAAGAAAGAAGAAGAAATACATAAATTACTCTTTAAGCATAAGTCGATAGGTCAAATATAGTGGAAAAAGTACTTAAGTTACATTTTTTCAAAAATGAGTTAAGACCGGTATATTATTTGATTACCTCCCCTTAACCATCCCTGGATATTTGGGCCATGGAAAAAGTAGTGTAGTAGCTTGATTCAAATACTCTGTATCTGCTGTTTTGGTATTTCAGCTTCAATTTAAAAACTTTGCACTCATTTTTCTCAAAACTCTCAATATACACTTAAGTACTTTTTCCACTGAGCCCTTCATATAGTTTATCTATTTAATTGGTTATGTAATTTTAGCCATTGTTTACAATTTAAAACAGCAGCTACATATACTAATAAAATGGTTTAACATTTATGAAAAAGTTTCTGTAATAAAATGAAATCCATGATTAGAATGGTACCTATAATCTGATTCTACAACATTTGTAAATGTATTTTACATTTGTTTACATCACATTTAAAGAAATTTTATTTTAAAATCTTTAAAATAAATGCTATTCAACATTTTTACTTCATTTTTATCTAAGTACAACTGGCAATTCTCATATTTTAATATGTTTTACAGTGCCAGGTGCTGCTTACCATGTTGTGCTCCCACCTCCTCCAGAAGATACCAACACAGAAGAATCAGTTGGTGAAGCATCTACTGAAGCCACTGCCTCAGAAGCTGCTAAGACTGAAGAAGAAGAAGATAACAAAACTGAATAAATAATTAACTTCTGGGATTGGAAAAAAGATTTCAGTGATATTAAATCAATCATGTGCACGTCCCAATCTTTTCCTCTGCATTGTTAATTATTGTACTAATTATAGATACCCGTTTATCTACATTTTATTTGGATCATAAATGATAGGATTATAAAGCCATAAGGCAAAGGGAAAAAAGAATGTTGAAAAAATCAACACCAAGATACATGAATGTTCACATGTGCAAAAGATGAATTACAATTTACAGAAGATAAAATAATGAATGAGACCATATCATTTTCGCATTACGCTATTGATGATGATTGTATTCCTATAGAAAGATTTGTAACTAGCATACATTCTTTTCTTTTTTAGTTACAAAAATAAAATTGTAAAGCCAAAAAATGATAGCATTCCAAGTAATATAATTATGTACAAATAAAATAACTTGTGATTGACTAAGAATACATTTATATAGAGATATACTGGATTAAGTAAGTCACATTTTGTTATTTATTTTTTGTGATCTGTTTGCCAGTACAAAAGTATTTTTTTGTTTTTACTACAGTATTTTTTTACAATGAAGTTAAAGACTTATTATTGATTCTGTTTAATATAACTAATTATGTAACCAGATATTTAAAATAGACTTTTTAAAAAAAAAATAAAAGTAATGTTAAATGCACGACAGTGATTTTTAAAATCAGAACATCATTGTCATCAGTTTTACCATGCAAAGTAGCAGATGTTTTCAAAAAAGGTACATTTGTCTATAAAATCTTAATATTATTGCAAACTTACAAAAACAGTTAGATTTTATATTTAAAGTAGGGCCTATTCTAAAATTGGAATTTGTTGCTTTACATGCTTACTTTGTAATGCAGCATACTAGGTTATATAGCTTTTATAGGAAATAAATAGTTTATTGACATTGAGAGTAATTTCACCTTGTTATGTAATATAATGAATTTGGAGAAAATGTCAATAATATTTCAGAAACTAATAAAATGTTTATAGAGACAATGAGAATTCTTTCAATTTTAACTTGTAAATATTTTTAGAAGTCTAGCAAAACAAATAATATTTGAGAAACTAATAAAAATGTGAATCAGTTTTATCTATTGTTAATTAAAATATCCAAATATGTTTTCTATGTATTGTTTGTCTCCAGTTTACTTTTAGAATGTTATTTATTAACTGTACAGAGAATTGTGCAAAAATATAAATATATCAAACATTAAGAGAATATAATTTTTAAAACAATACAAAACAACTCTTAATTTAAAAATGTCTAAAAAAATCATGATTCAGTTTTATATCTATCATGTTAACACTTACACAACCACTCAACTCTATTTTAATATAAATTGATATTGATAAGCTGTTTATTTAAAGGAAAATTCAAAACAAATTAACATTTATAGTTGAATTAATATAGACTATGCTTACTTTAAAATTATGATACTTTAAAGCTAATTATTTACCAGAAAAAATATTCATTTTCTTTATTTGAATTTCCTAATATTTTATTTTGTGATTCTGCTGACTAAGAGCAAATATTTAACCCCATCGTTAGCTTTTAAACATCGCCTATCATAAATATGATAAAGGATAAGGAGAATATATCCCGCAATATCTTATTTCCACTGTATATAGGGTTATTCCATGTCTTATCTTAGCTCCCATACACATCTAATAAATGAATAATAACTACCCATTTTCAGCTATATAATTTACATATAAACGGAATATTTTTTGTACCCCATGTAGACCTAATCTGTAAAACTATAGACCACCATTTAAGGCTCATATTATAAATCATACAATATTTCGGTTTCTGGCAATCACTTTCCTCATGCCCAATTTGGTGAAGGAAAACGTAAACGTTGTATCAAACGAATCAAAATAATAGACCTGTGTTTGGTCGGCGTGGTCGAGTCGGTAAAGTTCATGGTCATGGTTGCTATATCGAAAAGTCTCGAGTTCAAACCCTCGGGCAGATGAGGCTCTACAGCTGGGGACAACGAAATGGAATTTATATAGAAAATGAAAATATATACTTTTAAGTGATCCCCCCCCCCCCTTCCCCCTGAAAATTTCAAGTGCCCCCCACCCCGGAGAAAAAATTCTGGAAGAAACACTGGTTCAGACTGACACGTATACTTAATTGTGTTGGAGGAAATCTCACCCAACACTTAAATTAAGAACGCAGAAGAACTATTAGTTACAATAAATTATCGCGAATTTGAAAAATCGAATTCATTGTTAGTTACTCCCAATTTTTTTAAATTTGAAAGAACCAAGGGAACAAACAACAACAATAATCTAAAACATTGTTAAAAAACAAAGTTAAATTAAAAATATTTAAATAATGTAGATAGTTGCTAATAACTTAATAACTCTCTAATTAAATTTTAAAATTAAATTTAAATATAATAAAAATGTATTATTTACCACAGGGGTAGACGAATAATATATTTTTTACTCACATTTATAAAGAAAACATTAAATATGTTAAAATTTTAGTTATTTTAAGAATCAACCCAACACCAATCTGTACTATTAGAGAGTTCGTTCTCGCTTTCTTAACATTTAAACAGAATTTCAAACCAGAATTATAGCACTCATCAAAAAAAAAAAAAAAAAAAAATTACTGTACACCCAATCTCACTAGTGGCGTAGCTACCGTGAAGCTAGCGTGAGCAAGGCATAGGGGCCCAAGGCAAATTGGGGCCCCTTTTCGAAAGTTTGCGGGAGGGGGGTGCAAATCGAAAGTCGGGGGGGGGGGGGGGGGGGGGGGAGGTTCAAATCGAAAGTTTGTCCCCGGTCGGCGGGAAGGGTCGCTACGCCTCTGAGGGGCCCACTTACACTTTTTGCATAGGGGCCCATAAATCCTAGCTACGCCACTGAACCTCACACACGAATGTTGTGATTACAACGCCACATGCTTCCGGTAACTTGCATAGGGTTGATTAAACATCAATTTGAATTACTGAAACAACATATTTGTAAATTTAGACTAGAATTCTCGATCTAAATAAGTCTGCAAAAGAACGAAACGATATTAAACGAATCTAAGGTGTCCAAGGCAGTGGATGCGCTTTTGCACCTTGTCAAGAACTAAAAAAAGCAGGACTCTCTTAGTGAAGAAATAGATGTGGTTTTTCTGCAAGTCTGTTTGAAAAACAAATTCCTTCTAACGGAAAAAAATCAACACAATTGAAACAGCCACACTCATTAGCAAAGCTGGATATTGATGTGCGCCTCTTTGTAAAAGACCTGGGTAAAGAAGAAAGAGACTATGAACCTACAGTTCAACATTTCCAAGATCTTTCTAAGAAAAAAAAGGATGACTACCGTCACAGATATTGTTCCTCTCAAGTCATTTAATAAAAGCCTTTTGAAGCCAAAAGAAACTAGTCGAATGCTTATATTTTCTTAGCAGATTCAAGAATAGTTCGTCTATTACCAACGTACTTGGGAAACATTTTTATGGAAAAAAAAAAAGAAAACACCAGTGCAAGTCAATCTACAGGCTACTACCCCCCCTCCTAAACGAAATAGAATAGAAAATATATATACCCTTACCAGTGAGTATTGCACCTCCCACCCCCCCCCCCCCCCCCACGAAAATTTTAGATATTTTTAAGTGCCCCCCCCCCTCCTCCAGAGAAAAAAATCTGGAACACTTAACCTGGGTTCGATGAAACCACGGGGGTTCGGTGAGTCAGTCTCAAGGCACGGTGAAGGTCAAGACACACACCCAACTGATATGATTTACGATCGGATTTTGTCAGTGCGCACGATAGAACTATTAAGAAGGGTTCGGTGAATGCTCATATGAAACTGGTGGGGTTCGGTATTCCCAAAAAGGTTAAAAACCCCTGTACTAACAGAAGAAGAAAAGAGGTAACAAATAGCGAAGTTAGAGGCAAAGCTTAAACAGTAACACCTTAAGAAAAAAGAACATGACAGAAAAAAGTAATACAGAGAGAAAATTTATGAGACCTATCCAAGGTCCGGACCTCTCACTAGCAAAGCAAAACTTGGAAGAAGCCGAAATAAAGAAAATTGCCGGAGAGACGAATGGAGAAAAATGAAGAGAAGCTTGCGTGGCAAAGAGTTAAGGATCAGATTGAAAATATAACAAGATCCAGCAGCTATACTGGCTAAAGAGAAAAAAAAGCGGCATTTTCACCTTTAGTATTCTCCCTTTAAAACATCGATCAAAAAAAGTAGCAATGAATAGCTAAATTCAAAACCACGCTAGAATCTAGTTAATAGTTATCTATTAATAGATACGTATTTGATTTCAGGGTTAAACACCGTGGTCTACGATATCAACAGAATCCAAGTTTTTCTCACGAGATATTTTCACATTGCATAACACACGTCTCAGCGTCAGATTTTAATTACGATACGTTTCTACCACGCCAACAACAGCTGGTCGCGGAGCGTCGGCCACATAATCCGATAATTGATGCACTTGCTTTATAAATTAACACCCCGCTGTCTGCGAGGGTGCAGGGAGATTAACGGTCACTGAAGCGTTAAGTACAAGGACGTCTTCTTGTTAGTTAGCAAACGTTGACCTGGGTGTTAGTTTGTGCTGTCAAATCAGGGACTGAATATTGTGTCAGTTTTTGTCTGTGTGTGCTTGCATGAATGATATAATGGGAATTGCTTGTGTTTATGTATTTATGGCGAAATGAATGATATAATGGATATTGCTTGTGTTTATGCTTTCATGGTTGAATGAATAATAGATGTCGCTTGTGTTGATGGTTGAATGAATGATATAATAGATATCTCTTGTGTGTGTTAAAATGAATGGAATTATATATATATATATATATATATATATATATATATATATATATATATATATATATATATATATATATATAAATTGTGTTTATTGCTGAATAAATGATACTGCCTGTGTATGTGTTGTTGAATAAATGCTATAATAGTTATCACTTGTGTTAAATGAATGATTTTAAAGTTATCACAAATGTGTGTGTGGCTGAATAAATGTTATAGTTATAACAATAAAGTAGATATCACTTATGTGTGTTTGAAAGAATGATATAAAAGTTATGACTAGTCTCTCTCTCTCACTCTCTCTCTCTCTGTCTCTGTGTGTGTGTGTGGTTGAATGAATGGTGTAACGGTTATCGCTTGTGTATATATCAAATTCAATAATTTGTCATAAATACAAAATTAAAAATAAATAATAACTGAAAATAAAAACCAAATATTTTATAACTAATTTTACAACACACATTTGTAAAAAAAAACAACCCACCAAAAATATCTTGTATTATGGGATAAACTATAAAGTAGAATGTGAAGTTAATGTTTTAAAAAAACAGCGACCTTATCAGACTTTGTATTTTAAACACTGAACGAATAATCATACCACATACTTAAAAGGTAATTGTATCCCGAAAATACTTGGGAGCTGTGCTTGTCAGAATATTTCACCGTGAAGAGGTATTTGGTGGCGTGGCACACAAAGAATAGCCAAATCATCTGTTGTTGATAGCAATCGCTTGCATTTAAATACATATTTCTATTTACGGTGTTAGTTATCCCCGCCGTAGCATTAAGACCACCCTTCTGCTAGCTGCTACGTCAGATAGAAGTAGACAACGGGCTTGGTTGTTGCTACATAAGGTAGCAATTGGATCATCATTTTGGTAGCGGCTAAATCAGGTCGCATATGGATCACTAGTTTGTTAGATGGAGTTCTATATGGAATTTACATGAAAAGTATTACACGAATTGTTAATTCCTTTTTTATGTTAACTTTATTTTAGTTCAAAAAGTGTTGTGCGAAAAAAAAAAGAAAAAATATAAATTAAATATATTTTTATATTGAAAAAAAAATACTTTTAGTATGTATCTTACTACAACAAAAATTGTTGAATCGTTACAACAGTATAGTAGGTTGCTTTTAATTTTAAAACATCAAAATATATCTATATTCATTAACCAAATCAAACTACTGAACAATGGTACTTTTATTTGCTTACATTTTTTAAAGTAGTTGCATGTTAGGAATAAAATGTAATGAGTTTTCCTCAATTTCAGTCCATGTTTCCCAAGTACAGT